TATAAACATTTGCTTATTAATTTAAAAGTTATAGAATGAAAACTATAACAAGCACAAAATGGTTACGAGGTCGGTCCCAGGGACCGAGCCTGGGTTGAAAGAGTTAAAGTTCTCAAACCTAATATGTATAATCTGCTTAAAGTTCCACTGAAACAATATCACCACAAAGTCAAGTTTGCTACAATAACAGTTAACTACCTGAAATGAAAAATAAGAGCCATTCAACTTCCATGATGAAAGCATATTCATGTAAAAAAGGGATATGTTAACTGAGATAATTCCAAACAGTAACTATTTGGACAGTACATTATACCTCCCAGAATAGTGTTCAGCAGAAGCAAAAATGACATCTCAAATAAATAGCAATAAGGGAATTTGGACTCTGGCATGAAACATATAAAGTAAAGCTTTAGACTTTGTTGTTTGTTTAGTATTTTGGCACAAAGCCATAAAGGCTATCTGCACCAAACAAATGGTCATTAGGGTTAAATTTTATTTTACAAGTTCATTTATTTTATATAAACAACAAGAGGTAAAAGAGATAAGAAAGGTGTATAATTTAAAAGCATAATACAGGAAATTTTCTTTATAGGGATTAAAAATTAAACATTAATAACAAATTCTCATGGACCACAAAAACTAAAAAGCATGGTTAATGTGGATAGTATCATCAATGCCAGTGACAATGTCCAATGTAAATTGGATACCAGAAGTTAAAATATATCTAAATTAATGCTATCATTAAAAGTAATAGCAATTGTAACCAGTGTCACACTGTTCACACATTGATGGATTGTAACTTTGTGAAAGAATATGATGAATCAAAGTCTTTGGCCAAAGAGAAACTTTATCTAGACAATCTTCTCTCTCAGATTCCTCCAAAAACTAGACAGCCAATGATTGGTAGTAGGTTTAATATGGAAAAGCTTGTTCATGCATAGCTCTTCCAATTCATCTGCCAATGAGCATGAAGCTTTGCTTTGATCATAGGCTGATAATCTTTATAAGGAATAGTATAGAACTAGGCAATTAACAATTACCTATGTGCATTGATTAAATCGATTAGATAACAGATCAAACAAAATTGTGATTAAATCAAGTAATTTCACAAAAATAATCAACTAATCAAAATTAGTGTTTCCAGTTATTAATATTTTTAATTATTCCAACTATTCGAGTCTCATGTGAGAATAGTGTATTAGTTGAATGCAATTGAGTAATCAGTTCATCAACTAATTGATTCTCAAGTTCCACTGATTGCTCAGCTCTATTGATGACACTTGTGGGGGCCGATTTGGCCACATGTCGGCAAGCTAGTTTCCTTGGATTCTGACATGGTCAGAAATCCAGAAAAATTGGACATAGATAAGAGATTAAGAGTAAAAAACAAAAATGACATTTTCTGGCACAGTGAAAGGCAAAATTTTTATTATTAGTTAGAGCCAGCTAGTTTCTGTAACGCAGTTCTCATCATCAGCAATTCAGGAGTATCCAACTATTTCAAGTGATTCAAAGATTGAATAAGTGGGGATGGTAACAAGCCATGGTGGGATAGGCTGATCATCACATTCAGTAACATCATCCAACATCAGATTTAACTGCATTAATTTTGTTTGGATACAAAAGCCAAAGTTTGGGATTGTAGACTACCTAATTACAAAATGCAGAGAAACACACCGCGAGGAGTGATGCAATGGCAATGAGTGGAGCTTTGCAGCATACTGCAAAGAAAGTTGCAAATGTCAAAGAAAACGTGAAGGTTCATAGGACTGTGTACAAACTCTAGACTGGAGAAGTGTAAAAAATCCCTGATGATCCACAGGATCCAACAGCTTCAGTGCAGAGTCCCTGGCTGAGGCATAAAACAGAAACTCAAGGTCAAGCTTTGGTCATATGAGGACAAGATACATCTTGAGCAAAGAAACTTATCCTTTTCCAAGTGGTGTAAAAAAAAAAAGAGGATGTAGAGAGTGTTCAGTACTCTTGTACATTTGGTTTTAATTTGTTTGTAAGGAATGAAATGTCAGCTTCCTGTCAAATAAAAACCTTAATACCTTTGTCTCAGCCACCACAGGAATTTATGCATCTCCCAAAAGGAGCTTGGGGTCAGGGTGCAATCACCGTTGGCAAAAGAAATGAAAATAACTGATTTTTGATGATGAAAATTTAAAATAGTTTGCAGTAGTCCACTCAAACACATTATTGAGGACAGTTTGTAGCTGCTGCTCAAAGTAATTCATATTTGATGAAACGGAGATTCTGAAAGTTACCAACATACAGGCTGTTTGTTGGAGGAAATTGTTCAGTGATGGCATTAATCTTAAAGGTAAAAAGAGTGAAACTCAAAACACAGCTCTCCAGTACTGTGAGAATTTCTGTGTGAAAGATTAGAAGAGTATTGATTCTATATGGACTTAGAATGACCTCTTCTCAAAAAAGTTAAATAAACAAACGGACAAACGGCCATCCAATTTATAAGATCCTGAACTTCTGTGTAGTATCATAAGTCCTCTCCAGATAAAAAAAAGTCAACACAAGATGGTCCCTTTTGAGAAAGGCTTCCCAGATTGATGTTTCAAGTCAAACCAGATGGTCCATGGTGAATTATCTGTGAAAACTATAGTTGGTGGTGGGCAGGAAGATTTTTTTCTTTTATTCCAGAAAACAAATAAGATAAGTAGCAACCATAATCTTCAAACTTTACGTAGACAGCTAGTCAAAGAAATAGGCCTATAATTAGAAGGAATATTGGGATCCTTCCCAGGCTTAGTAAAAAGGACAACAATAGCCAAGTGCCATAATCAGGAAATTTATCTTCTTGCCAAATCTGACTGAAAAGAACTAGAAGATCAAGAAAGACAAGAGGGATGATGTAGCATCTCATAACAGATCTCATCCAGTCTGACTGATGTAGAGCAAGTTTAAGTTTCACCAGAGAGAATGATTGGTTGTATTCAAAATTACAATCACATTGAAAAGAAGGAGTTCTGCTTTCTTGTACCTTGTTGGCCATGAAGGTGGGTGAACAGGTGGATGTGCTGGAGTGCTAAGTGAAGCATGATAAGATGGTGTTAGCAATACCCTGTAAATTAACAGTTTCTTGACTACTGGGTTGCAAAATTGAAAGGGGGGTGTGTTGCATACTTCACATTCACTTATCCAATTTTGTTCCAAACATTCTTGGAACTGGTGAATGGTGCTAAATGTTGATAGTGTTTGTAGCTTCCAAAAATATTATCCTGTATATAGATACATACAGGATGCTAAGAATCAATCAAGGTTTTCATCATGTCACTGAAATTATGGAAAAAATCCTCCACAGATCCTCTGTGGCCATTTTCACCTAGAATGCTGAGTAGATCTATGTGAGAAGCTCTTCTGTTTAGATTTATGACATTTTTTTATCATTTGTCAACAGAAGGTCTGTTGACCTCCATGGACTATGTCTTGGAATGAAGGGGGAAAGTCCCATTTGTCTGATGTGATTAGAGTGAGCAAGGAAGAGCCTGAATAACAGTCCTGCATATCGAGGCTAATGGAACTAGTTGCAATCACACACATTCACCACTAGAGATGGGGGTAGATGTTGACTTATCTACTTGTTTGTCCATGAAGGGCATAAAAGAGTTTTAGCAAGGCAAAAAAAAAGACTCTATAGGTGAAACAGAGAAATGTGTCTGTACTCCCACTATGATAATGGAACAAAGTTTAACAGCATAATGCTACATTAGAAGAGGTGTCACCCCCTCCCTTCCTTGTCTCAGGATAAGAAATATTATTCATGGTTGTTATCCTCTGTATCTCCTCCATCCACTTTGGGCATGATCTGGGGTAAGAAGAATGGGAATCAAAGCAGCTGACACAGTATGGCTACAACTTGCACTCATGGCTGTCATGGTCCTTGTCTCTACAAAAAGCGCAAGTTCAAGCACCATGGCAAGATGGTGTCCAAATCACTTACAGTGAAAACACCTGAAAGTTTAGAATATATGGCCTGACTATGCAGTTCCGATAATCGGTTGCCTGAAATTGGCAGATGGATATGGAGACATAAGTGCCAAAACCAGAACCTTAGTTGGTTCATATCTTCCATTCTTATAAGTGGAAATTTGTCATAAAGATGATACTCATTGACTGATGTGACCAGCAAGAATCTCTATCTCAGAGATGGTAAGAAGATCCTTCTTGAGGAATTTAAAGACGCACGTGAATTTCCCCACTGACTTTCAGCTTCCAACATTGTAGAGCTTACAAGCCCCTCTAAGCCATGTTGCATGAAAAAGGCAAACACCTCAAAAGAGGTGTTTCCGAAAAAGTATGCATAGTAAAAAAATAAGGTACAGGAATGGTGACAATGTGTGTACAGACTCATATATTTGTGGTCATTGATCTACTGCTAGTTTTTCTTTGGTGAAAAAAAAATATGGATAAAAAGAAAAAGTCAATGCCCATTGACCCCACCCACCATGAAGATTTACTCCACTGTAAAAATCTCAAAATACAGGAATTACAGGCTAAAGTGGTGTATTGCAGTGATTCAGGCACCACTTAACCACTAGATTCTTTACATCCCCTTTATAATTTGCCTTTATAACAAACACATGAATGAATGTTTGGATCCACAAGAGAGATAATCTGATCGTGTACAGGAATCCATACTGACGGTAACTTGTACAGATCTTCATCTGCAACCTCCTCCAAATAGAATGTTGAACCTAGATGTCTACCTAAAGCTTCCATGGCTATCCTACAAACACATACTGTAGAATCTAGGTCCTCAACTATACATATTATGGCTGTATTACAAACATAGTTTTCTAAACCTCAAATCATGCTCACTTAGAATTAGCTTTCATTTAAAACTAGTGGAAAACTTTTATAATGAATAAAACTAGCTTGTTTGAAACTAACCTGGAAGAAGCTCTGCAATGGTAAGTGTAATAAACAATGTTGCAATAAGGAACTTGTCGGCCATTGGATCAAGAAAACTTCCAATTACTGACTGCTGACTTGGAAACTTTCTGGCTATGTAGCCATCTAGCTGATGATGGAAACAAAAACAAACTAGCTAAGAAGATAAAGCTTAAACTGTAAAGACAAAAAATTAAAAATACAAAACATTTTAATACATAAATAATATAATATTTGACAGACTTTGTATTCTGAGCAATAAAACTCTGTACACTGAACACTGAGGCTATGTATTAATTGTGAAAAAATTAATAAACTTGAAAATTTTGATATTCTGTAAAATTAATACTATTTAATATAAAATTCAAATATTTAGAACTAACCATATCAGTTACCCCAGCTGCAGCAAAAAGACCAAATGAGGCCTCATAATTACCAACGAGGATCAGGTAGCCAAGCAGAGGAGTTGCTCCTATTCTTAACAGACACAGTCCATTCGGAATTGTCATCACATTTTCCTTCTGCAGAACAACCGTTTTGTTAAACAAGCTAAAAAAAATTCCACTTCACAAAAAATTATGGTATTTTTTGGGTAAGTGATGAACAAACTGTATTTTAAGAATGACAAGTAAAATCAGTTTTAAAAAAATAATGTTTCCATATCAACAATAAATTTATAAATTATCAGTGTGCAGCACTAGCAAAAACCTCTTCTTTTATAAACTGCTCAAATTAGTTTTCTATATTCTAGCTATGAGAAAGCACATCTACTGTTATTAAACAGCATATGTGACACCCTTGAAATCATGTATGCATAATTAATTATCAATATATACATTTCAATTTTATTTAAAAGTAATAGAAATGGAGTGTGTTCTCAAAAGTTTGAACAATGTTGGTGTGCACAGAGATCCAGACTGACGTTTTTTTAAGAACTAGATATTATGCTGTATAATTTTTCTTATATGAGCAACTGTATTTTCTCTTTGATGATGTTTTTATCAGCATTTTTGCTAAAAAAAGCTTGTATTTTTTAAATGTGAACCAATAAAAAAATAGTTAAAGTTCTAATATGTTACATTCTATTTCTGATGAATTTTGTATCCATTAGTTACTGTTCTGTAAGTGAATGTAAAGAACTATTTGTCAAAGCCTGATAGGATATAGTGAATGTTATCATAAAGCAACTGATGTGACTCAACCCACAACAACAACTGAACAAATCATTTTACAGTATGAAAAACATGCATCAAATGCCCAGTGCTCAACCAGCAGTTCCCTGGGGTTTAGGACTAATAACTTTAATATACTCCCAGACACTCCAGGTCAAATCCACAGAGTTCCAGGAATGAACTTCACTAGTCATGTACCCAGTGTTCAATATAAAACCTCATTAATCTTGTAAACAGTTTTCAGTATAAGACATCATCTGTTTTGTAGAATGTTACAATTACCTCTTTATTCTTGAATTTAAGTTTCTGTAAATAAAATCTATAAATCTACAACCATTTTTATTGAATAATGTAAAAGCTTCTGTTATGTGAAAGTAGAAATTGCAGATCTCATTACTTTTATATTTTTTATAATATTAATATCAATGCCAACTGTTATTCATTTGCTTTGATGACTAGATTTTAAGTAAATTTCTTAAAACATGTAACAGAAAATCAGAATTACCTATATTTATGTGACAACAATGCACAACTATTAGCATTAAGAAACAGCAATGACATCATTAACTTCATTTGTATGTAAATTGTACCAGGTGACCAGTCATGTGATGCAAAGAAGAATTACTGAAGTTTCATGTCCCAAACCTCATTTGGTACTATGACTTCATACAAATTTTTTTAAAAAAGCATACAAACCACCTTAGACACTAATGTAAGTCATACATCAACATGGCAATCTTACAATGAGTTTCTGGAATGGTATGATCCATGCTTCTCTATTAGAACTGGTTCCAGCTCATTAACACTGTTTGGAGGCAAATCACATGCTGCCTAACATCTTCCTAAAGCATCCTACTCAGTCAGATTCAAATCTGGAAAGGGTGTTGGCCAGTTAATTCATTCAATATCCAGGAAGTTGCTAACATGTTGAGCAGTAGTGGTAAATGTTATTATACACGAGAAGAAAGTTCACACTGGTTAATAGTACCTGAATATGACAATGCTAGAGATTGTAATTCTGCATCCCTATATTGAATAGCATTTATGCTGTACTACATAAAAATCAGTGTGGCCAAGAATACTGTCGCTAGCCTGAAACATTTTGCCACGGCTACCATATGCATGCCTCTCCCTCATGTAATTGGCCATTCCCCCAATTTACATATGCCTTGTAACTGGTTGTGGATTATAATTTGTATGTGAACAAGACATTTTCCTGTATGTTGTTTTTTGATAACATTGAAAAAGGGAAGTGAGTACATGTTTTGTATAGTTTGTTGTAATAATCTTTCCATTAGGCACACGAGTCCTGAGACTGCAAAATTACTTATTGAAAGTGCAGGACACAAGCAGAGAGCAACTGCGGTTGTGGATAAATTGCAGACCTGATTAAATTTCAGAACTTTCACAAATGATCTTGCTTGGAAGACAATTGAAACTGAAATGTTTTTTACTGGGTTTCTTGGTGAGCACAACCTGTTTCTAGCAGCTACAGACCATGAATGCCCACTGTTTAGAAGGATATTTGGTGATATGAGTATTGCTAAACAAGATGCAAGACTACAGCTATGATTAACAATACTCTCACACCATGTCATACTGATGCAATTATCGGACTTATTAGAGGGGAACCCTTTAAATTATACCTTGGTGGAAGTAATGATGTGACAAATTGATTCCTTTATTGCTTCATTTTTTTTTATCCTTCATCAGAGGCAATTAGACTGGGAATGCAGGAGTTGCTTGTTTGCAATGACAATTTTTTTACCAATCAAATTTTAAACATAGTCAATGACACTGTCTTGAATAATGGAAACTAAAGGAAAATTGTGTTTGGTTTTCTGTGTGAACAATGGGAGATTTAAAGGGCTCAAGAAACTTGTTTCAGATAAAAAATTAGAATGTATATGTCAACCACAACCTTTTAAAGAGTACCATTCAACATGGTATTATGTATTTTATGTCAGATTTCACCCTAAGTTGTTAATTTAGTGACAATTCATGGTAGAGGAGAGTAAATACCAGAAACAATATATGGGAATACAGAAAACAATCTGTAGATATGCATTTTGGAGGTTATGCAAAATAATATATAAACTGAAAGAAAAAGTATTATTTTTCTTCACATAAACTTGCCAGTCTGAGTCAGACTGATGTCATCAATTTCAGAGATATATCTTTAGTATGAATACTTTTAAAACACATCTGATTTTTTTGGTACAAACGACTTGTACACTTTACTCAAAGCTTGCCACATTTTGTGTAGATATCCATAATAGATTTGAAATTATAGTCAACATTCCTTCTCCAATTATACATATCCAGTTAACTTATGAGCTGAGAAAGGATTATCTGCTCTGTTCATAAGTCCTGGTTTTGTTGTGTTTTATGTTTTTAACACTTTTCAAAAAGTTCTAAATGCATGGCACAACTAAAGGGGTTTTGTGAATTCTGTCCAATTAAAAACAGAAGTGAACTCACTGGCTATCACTGTAGAAAGTACTGAGGAGGGTTTTGGATTAGCTCTCAAATCATGTACAGCATCCCAAAAGAAAACAAAAGGCCCACAGCTGCAGAGATTAAAGATGATACTGTGTGATCCAAGTACAGTTATTTATTGTTTGTAAACTCAGTCTTACTCCTCTTTGTACAAACGAACACATTCTTGCAGAAAAAACAAAACATTATCCAAAAAGTGACTCCAGCTTGAAAAAAACAGAACTTCTCCATAAAGTGACTCCAGCTATCAAAGAATATTTAAAGAAGTAGCTCATCTGATTCATAAAACAAAATGTTCTTACAGCATTGAAAGTAATGGATGCTGATGTAGGAAACCCTTGATACTACTTAATTAAACACAATTTGTTCAGTGGTTTCACAACCAAAAAGTATATCAGCTCATTAATACCAAGAGATGTTAACAAGTTTTAAATAGATGTAATAGCGGATACTTTTTATTTCAGATGAAGATGCTAATTCATGATCGAATTTTGAAAGAAGAAGATCCGATTTTTGATGTCCCCAAAAAAATCATCTTTAAATGTGAGGAAATCTTTATGGCAACTTCATAGTTACTTGAAGAATAGGGATACATGGGAACCCGGCCAAGTGTCGAAGTTAGGCATATAAGCCCTAATCTTTGTGGCAACTTTCCTAGTTACTTGAAGAATAGGGATGCATGGGAACCCAACCAAGTGTCGAAGTTAGGCATATAAGCCCTAATCTTTATGGCAACTTTCCTAGTTACTTGAAGAATTTACTGATTATTAGGGATGCATGGGAACCCAGCCAGATATTTGGCCCCGGCCAAGTGTCAAAGTTAGGCATATAAGCCCTAATCTTTGTGGCAACTAATGCAGTACTGAAAGTTACAGTCAATAATCAGTTTAGTTATAAAAAAACATGTTCCTAGCAACAAAAATGGACTGCCTGCTGAAAGCCAGGGATTCAGAGAACAATAGGGGTTAATAACAGGCATGGCTTGAGAAGTGGATTTCTGGAGAAGGTGGAGGTTTTGAGAACAATAGGGGTTATAGTTTGAGAAGTTGGGGCTAGGCATTGAAAGTTAAAAGTAAAACTTGAATGTTCTGTTGGTGATTATTTGGATAAATGTAATAAACGTCAATTTTGTTTTAGATTCTAATTTTTGTGCATGTTTTTTTGTGGGGGGGGGGGCAAGGGGAGAATCTGGTCCCGTTTAATACTCAGCCCCGATATTCGGCCAAATTTTACTACCCGTGCATCCCTACTGATTATCAAACCCTGCAGGACAGTGAAATAGTGGAAATGCAAATTGAAGGCATGTCACCATCACTAGAAAAGCTGTGGTTTGAAATTTTAAAAATTAATTAGGCTTTGATTGGTCCTAACCATTTCCCTCTTTTATGGAAGGTTGTCAAGCATTTTTTAGTGCTTCCCCATAGCAAAGCTAATCTAGAAATACTATTTTCCTTGGTAAAGAAAAAATAATACATAGATGCCCTGTCTATCTACCTTGTCATCCCTGGTAAAATACACGATAAGCATATTTAAAACTTACAACTGCCACTTTATTCAATACAGAAGTGATCTTCTGCACCAAGCAACCTACACAGCCACAAGAACAAGGCTTTCTACAACAACAGCCCGAGCACAAGACATAACTGGTAAAGATACAGGTCAAAGTCCACCTTCCACCACCAAGTACACCAGTAAAATGTGAGTACTATTATTAACATTTATTCTTTTACAGATGCCTCTGTTAAAGAATATTTTTAAACTTGGAAGATGCTACAGAATTTGAGGGATTCTACATCAGCTAAATCCAAAAGTTCCTATATATATTGAAAACTGTTCACAAGACTTACGAGGCTTTATATTCAACATTGAGTACATGATTAACATAAATTTTAAGGAAGGACAACAAGGGACCTGTTGGTCCATCTCATACGCTAAACTTTTTCTAATTAAAAATAACTCAAAGGTAGCCATTGTTATTCAAATATTTATCAAGCCTTCTCTTAAACTCCCTTATATTTACTGTGTTCACAACATCTGAAGGCAATCCATTCCAGAGGCCACCACCCTGTTAGATAACTAAAACAGTATTAGCTAAAACTTACTCCTACGTTGACAAAATTTATGTGCGTGTTCCCTAGTCCTACCCTTAAGTGCAAAAAAAAAAAAGATGATGCATCAACACTATCAATTCTCTGAACAATCTTAAATACATCAGTAAAATACCCTCTAACTTTTATTTTTTAAAGAGAAAACAATGTTAGGGATCTTAACCTATCCTTGTACAACAACCGTTTCATTCCAGATGACATCTTAGAGCCCTCCTCTGAACCCTCTCAACAATTCAATGTCCTTCATAAGGTAAAGAACACAATACTCCAAATGTAACCTAACCAGTAATCCATACATTAAAATTAAAACATCTTTAGACATTTATACAATATTTCTGTAAACACAACCTAAAATCCTATTTGAACTACCACTAGCAACAGCATACTGCTTGGATGGCTTAAGAGACTGATCAATCAGAACATCAAGATCTATTTTCCCCCATTACACTGGAAAGGGTATTCCCATAAAAATTACAATTAAAGGATGCAGCCTCAAACATCGAAAGGCATCACAAACCTCTTTTTTCTCTGTCCAGTGTGGCTTGTCCCTCTAATAAAACTGACTTGTACTGAATATTGTCAAAAGACTTTTTAATAACATGTATAAGACTGATGAGGCCTCATGCTAAATACCGTAAGCAGTTTTAGTTTCTTTCTAAAAGGACAGATATAAATATGTTGAAAAGTGCAATAAAAACAGTGTACTAGAATAAAACACCATACAAAATTTATAACTATACAAGCATCATAAAAGGATAGATTAAAATCTCTGCAATTATTTTCTCCTAAGAAAAAAAAAGGAGAGTTATAAGAGATCTGATTGAGGTGATTAAAATTGTTAAGGTAACTGATAATGTTGATACACCACCTATTTTGATAGCTAATGGAAATAGTGATACTAGTAAACAAAAATAAACAGCTTTATTTATCTAAAAGTATAATTAGTAACTGGTATGGGTTGCCTTTAGATGTGGTGGATGCTGCTAATTTAAGTGCATTTAAAAGAAGGTTTGAGAAATGTTTGATTGATAAGGATTAGCTTTGAGTGTTATATTTTACAGTTCAGTATAGTCCCTTGTTGTCCTTAAATTAAATGTATATATGTATTTAAATTAAGGTGACTTGATTTCATAATTTTTTAAAGTTGCTAGAAGCTTAATATTGGTGCAACAAAAATAAGACTGGAAATGTAAACTTAAATTTTAGAAGTCATAAGATCATATCTTGGAAACTGAGGCTCAGGCTCATTCCTTGATTCAGTAAATTCTCTGCTAAGAGTTATTAACCAGTGGACTAATTAGCCTAATAACTTGGTGTTGTTAAATTCTCCTGGACTTTTTTAAGATATGTATATACAGAGATACAGAGTGAAATTTAGTTTGTTTTATTCATATGTTATTTCAGAAGATAGAGGGAGATTCTTTCTTGTGTTAATTATTTAATTTGCATGTTAATGGTTTCCTGGAAAAACAAAACTAAACCTATGCTTCAAATTAAATTCTATACATCCTTATGCCAAACACTCTCAAGAGTTTATACAAACTAGTAACAACAGGTGTATAAATCTAACTGCTGATATTTTACCTAACTGTGAAATTTTTGGATTAAACATGTAACTTCATACACATACAAGCAGTCTTTAATGCAACATATAACCAAATATTGATGTAAATAATGAATATAAATGTACTTGTTAACTTTGTAATAACATCAATGAATGCATTTTCCAATTTTCTAAACATTGCCACATTAACATATATATATATATATATATACATATATATATATATATATAGTTTGACAGTCACTAGACAACTAAAAACTGTGGCAATCTATATAAACAGCTTAAAACTGTTTCACTGCACACACAAACATGTATGTGTGTGTGTGTGTGTGTCTGCTATCTATACATTTCCAGGCAGCACATGAACTCACAATTTCCACCATTCTTTTTGACACTTTCTTCCGAGTTTCTAGAAACCTGTGCCTTGTTCTAGGTAATCGTAACTTAGAAGAGCCAGTTAAGGTGACTGTTATATCTTGGCTCTCTTCTTTCGGATTTTGTCTCGACGAACTTCTTTTTGCAAACGTTTCTCTGTCAGTTGAGAAATGTTTGCCAAACCCACACAGTTTAGAAGAAAAACAGTTGGTAGCAGATGCCGAATTAAATTTAACACATGATTTACATAAACTCATTTCAGAAAAGGTCCAACCAAAGGCAGTCCATGGCCTGACTCTGGATATAGGTACATACAATAAATTAATGTTATTTGGTATACTTCTATAAAAACTAGATAAACTTCTCACTGCATTACTAGAACATAATACTTGGTAAGGACAGAATCTGAAAAAGTTAAACTGTGAGAACAGTTTAACAGGGTGAATGACGTTAGCAAAAAAATTCGTCATGACGATATTAATTTCCAACAGAAATCACCTCTGCCATATACAATAACACTGATAAACGTCTACTGTTAACAGATAGCGATATCCAAAGCTCATGCTATAAGTATAACCACCACATGATAATCTAGGCTTAACAAGCATTTATAACTATACCTATAATATACATGCATGAAAAAGGCACTAGCTGTTAGTACTGTTTTCACTTTATAATCACTGTTACGAGAAGAAAAAAAATTCGCTTGAAACTTTTCTGACTACCGAGATGTATATAATATATTGATGTAACTTAAAGTTAAGCCCAAACAACAAAAAAACATGCTACAAAATATAATTTCTAATTTTCTTTTACACCATCAGTTGCTAAACGTACTACCAATATCTCGCAAGTAACGTTTTTGTTTGTTTTTATGTATCATAAATAACCACAATAGGTCAACAAATGTAAATATTTATTTGAGAAATATTAATGTTAATATTCTACTGAGAATGAATGAGAAAAGTTTATTGTTTAAGACTTTATTCAATCTACAAAAAAGACGACTCTCTCTCTCTCTACTATACAGAATACCCTATATAAATAATGCAATGTACCATAAGGAAACCCTTTACTTTTTCAAACGCAAACATAAAAGTATACGTATATATAATTGTTGAATTGGCACACTGAGTGTTGCTTGATTTTAAAAGATGCCAGGCAATGGGAACTTCTTTTATAATTTTGGAAATTTTATTCATTCATAAAGTAAAATAAATGAATAATGCAAAAGCTTCTATGCCTGTAACTGCTCTTCAGTCTATTTTATTAATTAACTGAGACAATTCTATTTTGTATTGTTGTAAACCATATCGTTACGTCTCTGGTCGTTTGTTAATTTCCCGTAAAAATTCCTTCCGAAAAACTTCAGCGATACAAGTCCTTTCTTAAGTAAATCTAGTTTATTCTTTCTCAATACAACTTTGCAACACACTTAATTTCCACAATCAATTTAACTTCAAGACACGCTATAATTCACAACGAACGATTCACGCACTTACTTATTACCGCGCTTGACTCAATTGTCCGTCTCTGTCTGTCTGCAATTCTATATCGATTCGTTGTCTGGCGCACTTATATAATGGAATACCGCACATCTAGCAAACACTCGAGCATTCATGAACCTTCGAGAATATCATGACGTGTTACTAGCGTCACGTGAC